AAAATATAGTCTAAACAGGACTTAAAAATATACTATACATATGTTAAACGGGGTTCAAAATCTCTAGGATTCCCACCGCCTCTTGAACCCCGTTCAACTGTGTGCCTGCTCCAAATAAATTTTATTGATATGGTCAAAGATGTCTAAGCGAGTGGTAGGGCGATCTCGGCTCACTTGCTCTCCACCTTCCCGAGGGTCATTACGCAGTGCTGGTTGCCAAGAGAAGTCGCATGGAGCCAAATTGATGTGCAGCGAACAGCTGGGGCTTCCTACCCGAGGTCTGGGGCACTGCGGGGTCCCCAGAAGTTGGAAAGTTGGTGTCCCTTAACTAGGTGACAATTGCACTCCACGCTCGGGTTGTATGCAGCCTTGGAGATTGCCTGATCATGGCCTCCCCGTATACCTCCCCAAGATCCGCCCCGGGTACCCGGCCTTTGAATCGTAACTTGTATCAATGCGGAACATGCTCTCAGTCATTCACCCGAGTTGATCATCTGTCCCGCCATGTTCGGTCCCGTGAGTTGTCCTTCGCTATTCTTGGCTGCTGTATAGTCGAAGATTTAACACTCGGACACTAGACACCCAAGAGAAGCCTTACAAATGCTTAGTCTGCAGTAAGAGGTTCGGGAGGATGTGAGATTTACTTGTCCAGTTGATAGGGAAGACGAGCAACGGAGTGCTAAGTTTATTCTAGAGATCTTCTCAACAGGCATTCCTCTCTCCACAATACCGATGGTGATGAGCCTGTGTCAAAGAAGCGCCGTCGGAATGGCTGTAACACTACCATGCTTGCCCGGGCATCCCAGGCCTGTACTGCCTGTGCAGAGGATCACCTCCGATGCGACGAGGAGAAACCGTGTAAACGATGTCAGCGAAGGAACATTCAGTGCAAGGTGCCACCGAAGCAAGTGGATGAGCTTAACGCTTCACCCACTATGCCTGAGAAGCATCATACAGGCGGCGGTGACTCAAGCTCTTTGAATAATCCCATACTTAAGCCTGACATGACAAACGATCGACTGTATCAGATGTCTGCCAGTCCTCCAACAGAAATGCCAGCAGGCGATATTTGGTCCCAGGGCCCGTCTCACCATGCTCCAACGGATACGGAAATCGATGTCTCGGCTTCACTAGCAAAAGACTATGCGGACCTTATAACGCCGAACTCAGTTGATATGTTTGCAGCTGGTCTCTCCATAGATAGTCTGAGTGGAGTTAGAACACCGAGGGGGCTGATTTCTTTCGGATTAGAAACAGACCTCGATCTGAGCATGGTTGATCTCAGCTTCTTAGAATCCTACAATTCCCGAATCCCCTTTCAGTTTGATGAGCATGAGACCCCTCAATCAATTTCCGGGTCCGCCCTGGGGGACTGTGCGGCAGGTACAAACTATGGCACACCTAATGATCGTTCTATTCAGCGATTGCGATGGCACTTTGTCCCTGAGCCGCAGGATCACGGGTATGCCGAGCACAATAATCTATTACTGCCCGCTGATGCGGAGCAAAACTCAACACCAAGGAACTTCATCGGTATGGACAGTTATTGTAATGCAGAGAGCCTGGACCTTGCCTCGCGTGATAAGATTCTGAGTATCTTCCTGAGTCAGATGAAACATCCAATCTCTCAAGTCACTCTGTCCTTTCCCTCTGTTGAGCTGTTAGATATCCTTATCCGGTATTTTCTAACAAGTCCGACATCGAACGCCAAATCGTGGATCCATCTGGCCACATTCACTCCAAAACAGACCCGGCCTGAACTCCTGCTTGCAATGGCAGCTATGGGAGCTGTGTTAACGCCAGACCCGTCACTGCAGAAATTGGGTTTTGCAATGCAGGAGGTCGTCCGTCACCAGCTTCCTGTGGTGTTTGAGAGCGATAATACTATGATCAATAACCTTGACTTGTTGCAGGCATATATGCTTTGCTTAGAAACGGGCCTCTGGAGCGGCAATAATCGAAAAATGGAGATCTGTGAGAGCTCTCGTCTACCATTAGTTACAATTCTTCGGCGTCGAGGATTATTCCATCATGCAGCATATCCGCCTGTCCTCATTATCTCTGAGGATGTAAGTGACAACCTCGATAGTAAATGGCGTTCCTGGGTGCGGCAAGAGTCTTTTAAACGCCTCGTTTATAATTTGTTGCAACACGATGCCCAATTGTCTATGGTTCTTTTCACAAACCCGTTGTTATCCTACGGTGAAACCTCACTTTCTATCCCCTGTTCTCGCGATCTTTGGACTGCGAGCTCGGCTCAAAAGTGGAAAGAACTGTACTGTGTACGCTTCGCTATGGGCTCGACACGGATCCCAACGCTTCTGGAGTGCATTGCAAACCTTGATCTTCTCGAATGCAGCAAAGCTGTGGCAGACACAACACTTGGATGTTTATCTATACTTTGTGCCATGTGGGGAATGGTCTGGGAATATCGACAATTCAGTATTCTGCTGGCGGCGCAATCTCGGTACTGGGATAATGGGATCCTGATGGTATCACGCTACCAAGAGCTTGTGAAGATGCTGAGGTATTTTCATATGGGATACAAGAACGAAAGCACACTTCATTTGAACCTTATTCTAATGCACATGCACATGTCACTAGAGGATGTGCAGATTCTTGCCACGATGGAGGACCCCAGAAAGACCTCAGAGTTTCCGCCGTCGATCCATTCCTGGTCGAAAAGTAAAGAATGCCGACAGGCACTCTGGCATGCTGGACAGGTCATCCGAGAGCTCAAAACTCTTCCTTCGCAACGTCTGCGGGACTTCATGGCCGTTGCCCTGTACCATGCAAGCTTGGCTCTCTGGGCCTACGGTATGGCAATCTCCCATGCAACTGAAGGTAATGCCATGTCCCGGCCGGATTCCATGAATATGAATATAGAGAATATAATATGGCTCGATGGTGATGATACCGATGGCGTGCATCGCTATATCGCCTTAGAGCGTGGCATTCCTGCCTTGCATGGAGTCCAGCCGCATATAGCATCTGCTTCTTTGGCTGACCCTGGCGCCATTTTGGAGCTAGTTCTCCAAATAATGCATAGAAACCATTCCGGTGAGCGGGAGCCGCCTCTGGTAGAGAACTTGGTCAGTCTCATTGAGAAATTACGGGACATCAGCAAGTAATGTGCCATGTGAGAACTTTCAGATGATCTATATATAGATAAAATACCAGATATCGATTTGAAAAAATACATCTATGCCTTCTAATAACAAGCACTATATTGCATGTATCTATGCGTATCTACAATGAAAACCCAGCATCAATGACAACATTCATCCCAGTAATGGATTTGGAGTTCGCAAGGAACTTAACTTGCTCTGCAACATCCTTTTAAGGTATTTCAGGTTAGTAAACCGCGTTTCAATGTTCTATAAGGTACATTATATTCTTACCTCCGGTGTAGCGAATCGCTTCAAGACATTCTTCTCCCGCACGGCGTTCAATCTTTCTTCTGGGAACTGTAGCCCCCAGTCCTATAGACATTATTAATAGATGCCCACGAAACCAAAAAGTCACAGACATACCGTAAGCAACACACCGGGCGAGACCGTGTTTACTCGAATATTCGGCGCCGCAATGGCTGCCAGGCTTTTGGAAAGGTGTATAAGGGCAGCTTTCGTTACAGCATACGGCTATGCCCCCAATATCAGCCAAATACTTCCACAAATATCAAACTCTCCAACAATACTCACCAAGGAGCTACCGCTTGGCTTAACACCAGCAACACTCGCCGTGGCAATAAACGCCCCTTGGGTCTTCTCCAGGTGCGGCCTGCATTCCTGGAACAGGAAAAAATGGCTCTTGACGTTCATATTGAAGCATCGGTCCCAGTCAGCCTCGTCATCGGCCTCGTCAAGATTCGTAAAATCTGACATTCGTGTCCAGCCAACATTTGAGACCACTATATCTAAGCGGCCCATTTCCTGAACCGTCTGGTTCACTAATCGACTAATATCAGCTCTATCTGCCACATCTGCTTTTAGAGCTTGGAATTGGGGGGATCCTGTCGACTGGGTATTATTATCTCTCGAAGAGTTCAGATCTCGAATGAGGCTTTGTGCGGGCTCTGGGTTGGATCCATAGTTTAGCATAATACTGGTATCGCCCTCGGCGGCGAGCGCACGAGCGACGGCGGCCCCGACGCCTCGCGATGCCCCAGTTATCAGCGCAACTTTCGGAGGCATTGTTCGCGGTCAGTTACACTGTAGATATGGGTTCGGATACGCTGACTGCCCTATAAGATATAGATGTGGAATCAAAAACGATCGGATGTGCCCCCTCCACCTGCGGGCCAGACTATCGGCTCCACTTGGAGAACCCTCATCCACAAAGTGGCCAAGGGATTTAAGAGTGGATGAACCGTGACCTTTTATCAGGTAAAACAACTAAACTGTACTTGACCATTCCCACTCTGCATTACTCTCCTATATTCACCTGAAACACGAATCAACACATGCCAAAAATGCAAGACAACGGCCTCCGTCCCATCAACCGCGTGATCACAGACCACGACGCTCAAGGGACGACCAGATTCCAGGATAGAATTCCTGAACCCCTCGAATGGCAGCAGCTCGCCAACGGTGCCCGCTTTTCGCTTGCATACGGGACGAACGAGGTCCCCGTCAACTTGACCGGCGAGAAGGATCTCAATGTTTACCAGTCGTTGCTGAGAGATCTCCCGGGTGTTACAATTCCCGGAGGCACGGTCTTGCGTGTCGTGGACATGAACCCTGGTGCCATCTCACCCATGCATCGGACTGTCAGTCTGGACTACGGGGTGGTGCTCGAAGGAGAGGTCGAGCTGGTGCTGGACTCTGGAGAGACGAGGTTGCTCAAGCGAGGCGACATCGCGGTTCAGCGTGGGACAAACCACGCGTGGAGGAATACGAGTGACACCAATTGGGCGCGGATGTTGTATGTTCTCCAGGAGGCCCAGCCTTTGGAGATTAATGGGGCTACACTGGAGGAGGACTATGGGGGCGGGATGGACGATGTGAAGCCCTCCAAGTGAACGAGGCGGCAACAGGGATTCAAACTTAGGATAATAAATAGAAGCTGCAATTAGATCATCCAAAGTTCTCACTTCTATTTAATATATTGTATATTTCTCTTTGGAAGAACCTCGTTTTGGGTGGTTTGCCGCGGTTCAGTCCACGGCACTGCATGGCCTGAGATCGGCATTCAATAAATCAGACTTAGCAAAAACTTTCATTTTAGCACGAGTACTAGTGCTTCTAAGTAAATTTGATACCAAAGACTTGCACTCCAGAGTTCCGGCAATCCTATTTCGGACTTCTGTCCGGCCTCTCTTCACACCGTCGACATGCCCATTCGGAGGTGGAGCCGGTGGAGGAATATCTAGTGTAAGACGAACACCATACCTCGCCCATAAGAAACAGATAAAACCCAAGTTGTACTAAGAAAGAGAATAGTAATCTACCTACAAGCCTGAAGACTTTATACTTGTCCCCCTTGTGCTTCTACCATCACTCCCATCATGCCTGCCCGCCATCTGAAATCAAGGTCAAACACCTTGGCTGTCTCCACACCTCCTCAAGTAGACGTCAGCTCAGTCGTTAAGGGAGTGATAGACGATGTCCGACAGAATGGCGACGCAGCCGTACGCAAGTACTCCGAGAAGTTTGACAAGTGGTCGCCAGCTTCGTTCAAGCTGTCCCAGGCGGAGATTGATGCCGCGATGGCGGCCTGTCCCCAACAGACCATCGACGACATTAAAGAGGTCCAAAAGAATGTGCGTGCATTTGCACAAGCTCAATGTGAGTCTCTAAAGGACTTTGAGTATGAGATTCAACCCGTAAGACCAAAGCAATATCCCGCTGTAGACGCTGTTTTACTGACATTCCTCTAGGGTGTTGTTCTGGGCCAAAAGAATCTTCCTATTAGCTCTGTCGGCGCGTAAGTAAAGAGTATAGAAAAAAGAGATTCTGAATTAGAGTAGCCCTTAACATAAACAGATATATCCCTGGTGGACGATACCCTCTTCTTGCATCCGCCCATATGACCATCTTAGCTGCCAAAGTCGCCGGCGTGCCGCACGTTGTGGGTTGCACTCCACCCATCGCTGGCAAAATTCCCCATGCCACAATTGCAGCCATGCACCTTGCTGGTGCCGACGAGATATATCTCCTCGGTGGTGTTCAGGCGATTGCTGCAATGGCCGTTGGTACTGAGAGCATGCAGAAGGTGGACTTCATCGCGGGCCCCGGAAATGCTTTCGTTGCCGAAGGAAAGAGGCAGCTCTTTGGGGAGGTCGGAATTGACCTCTTTGCTGGACCAACCGAGATCTTGATTGTTACAGATGAAACGGCGGATCCTTTTACCGTTGCTACCGACATCCTCTCCCAGGCTGAACATGGGCCTGACTCTCCTGCAGTGATAATCACTACATCGGAGAGTGTAGGCCGGAAAGCCATCGAGATCATCGATGAATTGCTCAAACACCTTTCAACTGCGGATGTGGCAGGTGTTTCGTGGGAGCGATTCGGTGAGGTGATTGTTGTTGATACGATGGAGGAAGCGTGGAAGCTGGCAGATGAATATGCCAGCGAGCATGTGCAAGTCTTTACAAAACGGCCTCGGGATGCATTGGACAATATGACAGCATACGGAGCGCTCTTCTTGGGTGAGAAGACGTGTGTTTCTTACGGGGATAAGGTATTATTGTGTTTCATTTGCCACTACTACCTTGAAGGCCCAAGGACTGATATTCTTTACGTAGGTGATTGGAACCAACCACGTGCTCCCAACCAAGAAAGCAGCTAGATATACCGGTGGTCTCTGGGTTGGAAAGTATCTCAGGACTGTGACATATCAGGAGGTGGAGAGTAGCACGGCTAGTGGCGAATTGGGCAGACTCTGTGGACGAGCAGCTAGAGCAGAGAACTTCGAAGGCCATGCTCGGTCTGGGGACTTGCGTGTGCAGAGGTATCTGAATGATCAGTATGATTGGATCAAGCTGTATCATGAGGAGAATCCTAAGGCATAGATAGAACATTGCGACAGGACTTGCACAAGGAATCTTACCGCATAGCTACTAGCTATTTTATCTCATTCAATAGACCGATACATTCAAATTTCATAAATTCTAACATTAATTCTTTTTCGGAGTGTACTTATACAACATTTTTCCCGTTCAGCTATGTTTGGATCACTTATGCACGGTATAGCTAATAAAGGCACCAAGTGCTCAATTTCTCAGTCAAGCATCAATCTTTCAATTGTCAATGCTGATATCCTTGTCATACTACGCGGTACACTCATTACCCCGAGACACGTAATGCAACCTCGGGCATACATCCAACAGTGTAGATATGAGTCCCCCACCCCGGGTAGGTGGGCCCGAGACCAGCCCCAACAGCGTTCCGTTTAACAACGACATTAGGAACTCCTGGTATATAATACGTAACCTGAGGCATGCAAAGCTTTCGCATACATTGTGCAAACACCAATCTCATACCAGTGTATTCCCTGTCAACAACATGACCCAGCTCAACGGAACATCCGTCACTCCAAATTCGAGGAGCGAGAATCGCCCCCTCAAGGTCTTGGTCATTGGAGCCGGTATTGGCGGATTAACGGCCGCTATTGCGCTCCGTAAACAGGGCCACGATGTACAAGTGCGTGTGATAATCCTCACTCTTGGAGTATGACATGGTGTAGGCTAACAAGCGTTTTAGATATTCGAACAATCGCGGCTGGCAACTGAGACTGGAGCTGCGCTCCATCTTGCTCCGAATGCGAATGGAATCCTCCGACGTCTCGGTATATGTGCGGAGGAATTCGGTGCAAATGATTTCGAGAGGGTGTGTACTCATTTCGACTCTGCGTACTATTCTTGGAGTCTGCTTCTAACGAGTTGATCTAGTTGACGGAATACGCTGCGAGCGGAAAAGTAGAAAGGTCTATGGAACTCTCAGAAAATCATAAGATATGGCAGCATGTTCGACTCCCACAAACGCTATCCATTTCCAGTTTCTAACTATCTGGATTCTGCAGAAATGGTTACTTGCTCATCGCATTGACTTGTACAACAAGCTGAAGAGCATAGCAACCAATGCTGAGGATGGAAGACCAGCCATTCCTTTACGAACGTCAAGTCGAGTGGAAAGTGTAGATGCTGAAGCCGCGCAGATCACTTTGGAGAATGGCGCCCATTTTGCAGGTGACGTTGTCCTCGGTGCCGATGGGGTTCACTCGATAGCAAGAAGCGCGGTCCCTGGGGGCGATATCAAACCATTTTGCAGCGGCAAGAGTGCATTCCGCTTCCTTGTGTCTAAGAAAGCCGCCCTTGATGACCCGGTCACTGCGCCTTTGGTTAAACACCCCGGGGAGTTGTGTATGTGGTATGGAACAGATCGTCGCATTGTTATGTACCCAACCTCCCACAACTCCGTCCTAAACTTCGTGGTAATCCATCCCGAGGCCGAGTCGGCCGATCAGGCAGCCGATGGGTGGGATCAAAGTGGAAACCTCGACAAAATGCTTCAAATTTTCTCCTCCTTCGATCCCACAATTCTCAGACTCTTGGCCAAGGCCGACCCCGAAAGTGTAAAGGTATGGAAACTCCTTGATATGGAGTCGATTCCACAGTGGCATTATGGACGTTTGGCTCTTCTTGGTGATGCCGCGCATCCCTTCCTGCCGCATCAGGGACAAGGGGCAGGAATTGCAATCGAGGACGCAGCTTCGCTTGCTGTTGTTCTTCCACTAGGAACTCCTGTGGAGGAGATACCCGAGAGACTGCAGCTTTACCATGACATCCGATACGCGCGCGCAACCCAGGTCCAAGAATATTCCCGGATACTTGGTGAAGATCGGACCGATGGTAAGGAGCTTGATAGTGAGTAGCAGGGCCCCATTCTATTCAATCTAAGAAGCATTACTAACTACCATGTACTGATAGTGTACGGGTTCGTCAACTTCAACTGTGGCCACGATGAATGGGACAACTCCACCCAAAAGCTCCGTGAATGGACCTGGAAACGCATTCCTAGCCCGTACTGGCGGATGCCCATTGCCTTCGGGCCCATGCCAGGTCCTCGCCAAACCCACCTCGGAGTTCCCAGAGACGGAACGAAGTCCACCTTCACCACTGCGTCAATCAAGTTCAAGACGTCCCGAACAGTTCTCCAGAATCTGTTCCCACCCGGCCGGCGTGGCTGGCGTTTTACTTCGCCCGGCACCGTCGCCTACGCGTCCTTCGCGAAAACCACGCTGAATAAGATGGACTGGCTGGGCGGCTCAGGATACAGTCACATTGGTCTTTATGTCCACGGCGTCGAATACGTCAAGAAAGATGGCTCTACCGTGAAGGGCTCGTACCTCCCCATCCTGTTCGAGTCGCTGACCGATCCGATCGTCTCTGGTCGGGAGGAGCTAGGCATGCCCAAACTGTACACGTCTATCGATGTCTATCGCCGAGCGACATCTTATCGCATCCGAACTGGCTGGCAAGGTGCGCTCTGGGGTGACTTCCTCCTTGAGGACCTGGTCGAGATTGACCCGTCGTCTGCATTTGGCGGAATCAGCGGAGAAGCGGACGCTGGTATGCTGGCATATAAATACATCCCAAAAAGTGGCCGTGCAAATAAGAATGTGCCGGCGGAGGAGCATGCCGTCTGGGATCCGTTCTCAGAAGCGATGCCGAAGCCCACGCCGAAGAGGGTGTACACGACCAAGAAGGCGAGTTTTCAGATTGACGCTCTGGACTGGGAGCAGCTGCCCACATTGCATCATGTAATTTCCCGGCTGGCGGATGTACCTGTCTACGAGGTTATAGGGGCCAAGGTCGTTGAGGGTGAGGGTGTCCCCGATGTTTCGGGGGCGAGGCCAATCGAGTAAATGATGCTATTCTGTTTTTGATCTTTGAACTCTCGGGTGGCATACCTTACAGTTATGGATATTAGGTTGGATATTAGCATATGGTCAAGTCTCTAGTAGTCGTGGTATCTTCGCCATTGAACTGTTTCTGAAGTATATATCCAGTTAGCCCTAACCTCACCGTAGATACTTGAGCGTAATGCATCATGTAGATAGAGATCCACAACAACCCTCCTCCTCCACCTCCCCATTTTTATTTAGTTATTGCTTCTCAAATAACCTTCGCCGTTCACTCCTTAGAAGTGAAGAGCGCTCTATGCAGCTCTCATCAAACAGAGATCTAGGATCCTAGACAGTATTTTTATCTAGGGCACCTGGCTAGAAAATCTTCAACTCCCAGCAGGATGGAAACCTGACAGACCCTCAATATATTTAAGTCAAGCTTGGTCCACGGCCGAAGAAGGCCCAAAAAGCGAATGGGACACAAATGATCATGCATGAACTACTAAGACAGAGCACGGAAATATATATTCTTCTTTGCTTGGACTTGGACAGTTTTGCTTCGGCCGTGATCATGACATTGCAATTTCAGCATAGTTACTGAGTAGGGAAACAACTATCAATATATATCTATGCTAGCTTTCTTTCAAGTCATTAAAACCGTTCCAATCCACCAAGTTACCGATGACCTCTCTGACAGGAAACAGAATGCATGCATGTTTAGTCAATAAAAAGCCCACCAGATGCAACAATATGTGCTCCATTGATCCATCGTGCACGTTCCTCACAGAGGAATGCGACTGCAAAAGCGATCTCATCTGGCTCCGCCATTCTTGGCCCAACCGGGGTTTGGTCAATAATTGGCCGCAGGATCCTCATCTGGTCCTCACCGGCAGCCGCAAAGCCTTCAGTCTTGGTAGGGCCAGGACTGACAGCATTAACTGTGCAGCCATATTTGGGTGGCAGCTCTTTAGCCCTAGATCCACTCACTTAGTTTATATCACGAACATGGGGCGAGAGCCGTAGCTGCACCTACCAGCATTTTGTAAAAGAGTCCACCATCCCTTTTGTTCCCGCATAAATGGTCTGGTTTGGTGGAGGCCCACGACCGGAAATGCTGACAATATTCACAATCCTGCCACTCCCTTTCGTCAAGTGAGGCAAGCTTGCTTGAGTCAGGAGGAACGTACTCCGTCCATTTGTATTGACTAACAGATCCCAGTCTTCCAGAGTCTGTGATTCGAATGGCTTGTTCACGGCAAGCGCCACACAATTTACCACAATATCAATCCGACCCCATGTCGAGACTGCAGCATCTACTAGCTTCTGTGGAGATGTCGCCAACAACATATCCGCTTCAAGGGCAATGGATGGCGAGGGAAGAGACTCCACCAAATTGTCCGCTTCCTCTCTTAAGTGCTCGAAGGGGTAATTCACCACTGTATTGGCACCGCGGGACGAGAGCTCTCGTATAATCGCAGCGCCGATTCCTGATGAGGAACCACTAACGATTGCTACTTTGTCCGCGAGGCTTTTCCCGTTCATCGTGTGGTGGGACTGAGGTGTTAGATGGCTAGCTACCAAACTTGTACGGCTAGAAGCTGATGATCTCATCTTTGGTCACCTTGCATTGTTAGCTTTGATTTGAAGACGAGAAACACGGTCCATATTATGAAACGACCTGGTGAGGGCCCGAGTATTCGAGTGAAGACGCGCGTCTCAATACGTAGTCTAGGCGATGGAGGAAGCATTAATGCGGGGAAAGCTATTCTCCCCCACATCCCGGGGTACTCCACAGCCATCCACTTCTCAGTTAGTCAATTGACTTTATACGTAGCTTTTCTGGTGTATCTAGTGGCTGGATTGTGTGGACACTCTAACCGCAGCCGAACTGCGAGAGGTAGAACGTTACGGTACTCAACCCGAATGATTATAGAGCCAAGGATTTAGCCAAGTCAGGATAGTAGTTGACAAAGTCAGAGATAAATTAACGACGAACATATATCAGTTGGCTATGATATGAGGCTATTATCTACAGTTTCCATTCGTGTGCATTTAGCAATCCTTGTGTTCCTGAGATGTCACCCTTATCCAAATATCCACATATCCTCCCCGTGGGATCCCATTTACGACGAATCTCCATCAGACGCTGGGCGTTGTCGTCAGCCCAATATCGAGTTTTCCTCACTTGAAAGTCCGAATCTCCTAGATACGCCCCAACTGAATGTCGTTCGACTTTCCGCATGATGTTCTGAACCCATGTCTGGCATCGGAGGTCATCCTTCTCATCCTCCCATACAGTATACAGCGCAAAGTAATGGTCTGACTGCATGCTCAACGCCATATCTGGGAGTTTCCGCCGGCTGCAGGGATTCATTCCAAACCAAAGAGCGAACGATTTCTTATGCGGAAGTGTAGTGAACGCCTCCTCTAGAACAGCAGGAACATCTGCATCGTTGTGTATGTAAGCGTTATCGGCACAATAGCGGTGTCCTTCTGGGTTTGCTTTAGCTTGGTTGATGTATTGGTTCTCAAGACTGTCCTCCTGGCAAAACCACTCAACAACGGCCCCTGCTGGCCGTGTCTTCTGGGCTGGGGCGAGTGCCCGTTCAGCTTCTTGCGCGGAGGACTTCATGGTGACGAAGAGAATAAACAAGCATAGCTCATCTTGGCCCTCAGGGTAGTTGGCCACAGCTGCAATTTCGGTATCGTTATCAAAATCTGGAGTGATAGATATGATCCAACGAAAGACCTCGTGGTAATGTCCTATGGGGTAGACATAGCCCGATGACCGGAAGCCACCTTTAGGGTACGGCACGAGGTCGAGATGGAATCGGGTCACCACGCCAGGAAATCCTGGAATCTTACGTTAATTGCTTTAACTGAAAATTCAATGAAGAACGAAACATACCTGGCCCAGCTCCACGAGCAGCCCAATAGAGATCACGGTTCTGTTGCGAATTGCAATGCACCAAGTCCCCACTAGCTGTCACCACATCTAGAGCGCGAACACGTTCGCAGGCCCATCCCCAGTTCTACATATCATAATGTTAATTGCACATCAATTTGAAACGGTCAATGGTGGTTCATACTCTGCAATTCCAACCCATTCCGCCCTGAAGCAGGAAACCACCGATGCCAACGTCAGGGCAATGGCCCCCAGGAAACATCAACCCGTACTCCTTGGTCAACACACCATTGATATCCTTTCCTGTCATGCTTGGAGTTGCCCATGCTATTGTCCTCTTCGGGTCCACTTCAAGCTGCTTGTAGTTGCCCAGGTCGATCAAGATCGAGTTGTCCCGGACGCTCCACGCAGCCCACGAATGGCCGCCAGAACGAACTGCGACCCGACAGTTATTCTCAATGGCCAGCTTCACCGCAGCCACAATGTCATCTTGGCTACTTGCCTTTACCACGGCCAAGGGGTACCGTTGAGGGCGACGGCGGTTGAAGACGCGGCCCACGCGGGCGTCTTCATAGGTGTCAGGATCAGCTGTCTTGCGCCAGGTAATCTGCATGATGTCTTACTCAAACACTGTATGTGCTGTAAGATGGAACTCAGGTCACAATATCATATTTAACTAATTTCCCCATAATCCCCCGCCTGGTTCCCCCGCACTCTACGCTGGCCGATGCCGGGTATGTGGGGAATGAGGGCACAGTTCAAAGACCCGGTGGGCCCGACGCGAGCCAAAGTGATTAAGCTCAGTGAGCGGCATTAGTTTATTTTCTCCCCCGTACGTCCTCGTCAGCTTAAATTCATACCCAATTCCAGGCATGGAGGGAAGCTTTTAGGGGGAAGAACGATTATGCATTGTGATCTCTAGCATACCGATGCATAGACCAAATGATGTCTCCAAAGGAAGTCGATCCCTCTCCAGTTGCGCCTCGAGGGCATACCTTGGGGGACTTGCGTCTGCGACATCATGAAACAAACGAGATTATTCTGATTCCAACCCCATCGAGCGATCCCAACGACCCACTAAACTGGCAAGCTACTCCAGTTGGCCCCATTCATCCCTATGCTTGCTTCCCCACCTCATATGACTAACGGCCCGGGTTCAATGGCTTAGGTCGGCGGCATTCCGGTACTATATCGCTGCTCTTGTCTGTCTGGCGGTGTTGCTGTGCAACTTTCTTGCGGCTGGACCAACCGTCGCAATCGAGCAGACAACCGTCGATTTCCTTGGGCCAATGGGCTCAGATGCTAGTGCTCACATTGCGCGGGTGTCCTTTTTCTACAGCACCACTTCCCTCATGCAGGGAGTGGGTATGCTGTTCTGGATGCCTTTGATCATCAAGTTCGGTCGCCGGCCCATATATGCCATCTCGTTTGTTCTTTACGTGGGAACGGGCTTATGGTGTGGGTTTGCCAAAACCTACTCTGTGGAATTGGCAGGCAGGATCATTATGGGTCTGGCTGCAGGTGCAGGGGAATGCCTGGGGCCATTGACAATCACGGATATCTTCTTTCTCCATGAGAGAGGTGCAGCCATGTCACTCTACACGGCGGCTTTGTCGGTTGGAGTGGCCGCCGGCATCATAATCGACGGGCTCATCACCATCTCGCTCCACTGGAGGTACATCTACTACGTGGCTACTGCATTGATCGGCGGCGTCACTCTGCTCGTCATTTTTACGTTCCCGGAAACCACATTTGACCGTAACAGTGCTCTGGAGAGGGAGGCCGCATCGAATGTCCCTGTATGTGCGCGGACAGCGTCAAAGTCAGCTGTAACATCTGAACATCACGAAAATGCTGAGTCCCAGATATTACAGATCGGAAAAAAGCCTTCATATCTCAGCTCCCTCCGTCTATTCAACGGCATCCATACCTCTGAGCCGCTGCTCCGCATTTTCCTCAGACCAATCGTGCTGATCATTCTTCCACCCGTACTATGGACATCACTGGTCTTCGCCGTAACGATCGGGTTTCTCGTGGCCATAACATCCAATTTCGCCACCGCCTTCTCGACAACCTATAACTTCGCCCCATATCAGTCCGGCCTGTGCTTTATTGCAGGCTTAATCGGATCCTTAATCGGCATCGCCTTCGGCGGCCAGGTGTCAGACTGGGTGGCGGATTGGTTCACCCGACGCAACAACGGCATCCGGCAACCCGAGATGCGTCTCCCCTCCATTGCTATCGGGGGCGTATGCGCCCCCACGGCCCTAGTACTCTACGGCGTCGGGATAAACAACAACCTGCACTGGATAGCCCCAACCGTAGCTCTAGGACTACTAAACTTCGCCATCGTGCAAGCCACCAACGTCGCAATGGTCTACGTGATCGACAGCTATCGACCGTCCGTGGGCGAGATAACGGTCTCCATCCTAGCATTCAAAGGTACGTCCACCGATTTCCTTCGCCCATTCCTGGCGAACAACAACAATCACGAACCTCCCTCCCTCCCTTCCTCCTGGGAACTGGCACTGATTTGATATGATGCTAGCGGCATTCGGATTCCTCTTGTCGTTCTATACAAACCCCTGGATCAATTTGGAAGGATATAGCCAGGCGTTTGGAGAAATGGCCTGTATCGCTGGCGTTGTTATCTTGATCGCCGTGCCGTTTTATTACTGGGGTAGAGCTGTCCGCCATCGAACCTGGAAATGGCGTATCATGCAGAAATACGGCAGATGGGGGGCTGATCGTGACGTAGGCGAGTAGCGGCGCTTATGTGTACTTGTTGTTTGAAGTGTAGGTCTTTGAAGACTTACTTGAATATTGCCGTCAATCTGACAAAGTAACAAGCAGAAGCAAGTAGAGCAAGGTTGTAAGTGTTAGACCTATGGTTCTGAATTACCCATATCCTGGCCGAATGGCCTCCCACCATATTAAGTACATTATGTAACATAAGAATAGGGCTCTTTTAGGTTTAATAATGACGGTTAATGCTAGTTGCGGTTGGTAATATGATGGATTGCACGAGATAAGAAAAAAAACAAAAAAAAAAAAATAGAGAAAAGGGAGGGGAAACCATCAGAGCGTAAAAAGATGCTGAGAATGAAAAACGTGAAGTGGTAAGGTCCCCGCCTTATTTCATAACCATGTCCTGTCTGACGTATGCATTATCCATAGACTTGAACTCCGCATCCTCTTGACGCCTTCGCCGATCCATTTGTTTTCATATGCAGCCCCGAGTATACTTTTATCATTCAATTCGTGGAGGGCCAGGGCTTGCTGACTTCTTCCCTAGCGGGCTGAGACTCGCTCTGTTCAGCCAAAGGTTAGCATAATCGCGTCAAGGCACTTGTTCAGCGACATACGACCTCCGACGTTCGCCTTCCTTGCGGAAGCCATCAATGATCTTCGTCATCTCTTTTCTTCCACCGCGGGCATCTACTTTCATTCCGCCCAGACTCATGCTGACTTTCTCGCTGGCGTTCGCAGTCAACAGCCTTTTCAGCAGCAGATGCCGCATACTCAGGCACACAAACACACCGCAGTCGCTACCATTCTCTTGTACCGGCGAGTCCTGTAGGTGAATGAATCGAATGGGTCGATTGAGTAATGTGCCAAACTTCATAGTCACCGTCCGGGCTTCCCAGATGTTTCCAGGAGGAAGTGAGTCGTAATGGAATGCTATCCCATCGACAATAGATATGAGAAGCAACGACCAGTGAGACCCGCCCTCAGCTTCAGTTACATTGCGACAATCATTGATTGGAAGAAAGACGTGCGTCGTCCGCGTGAAGTCGGGTAAGGCCTCCCGAAGCGTGTGCGGATTGGGTGTCTGCAAGATCATGAACGACATGCTGGGCCGCAGAAGTACAATGTTGGATGATTTATAATGGACGAGAAACTCGCGTTCCAGGTATCTGAAGATATCAGTTTAGGCGATGGTGGAACAGGCCCAATCGACTTACTCCTCCCAGAAGGATATGATCTGTGATAGATTAGCTACAGTCCATCGGAGGGTGCGATCACACCCACATTATCCGTGAGCCAGTCATTCTTGAGTGATTGCATATCCTCTCTCGTCACTGTGGAATGTCAGGTCTTCTATTAACCGGTTGCCAGGAGAAGCGCATACATACATCGAATGTCATAGTCTGTGTACTCCAGTCTAGTCAGACATTATCCTTCTCAGAGACTAGTGTCAATCAACCATGCACTCACAGCTCAAATACGCATCATCGGGGTTCAACTACTGGAGATAAGCTTTTCGTCATGGATCCGACACAGCAAAAGCCAAACAGCCCAGAGCCTACCGTATCACCAAACCGCTTCATCCTCTTATGCAACTTGCCCAATCCGCCATCAAGCATCCTGTCCGTCTTTATCTTGCGCGATAATCCCGAACCTCAATTGTATTATCTATCCACAAATCTCTCTGGAGGGCGGCAATCGGTGGGCCTGTTTCTGCTGAATCGAGGGGCCGTTGTGGAGGGCGGGGAACGGTTGCTGTGCATTCGATGGCTATCGAGCGCATCTATCCGAGGCCCTATCAACCGTTTCCAATGGTGAAGCGGTTTAACTTCGTAGCTCCTTGTGGATTTCTCTATCAGATGAAGGGGAAATCGTCCAATCCGAAAGATGAAACAAGCCGTGATTGCGGTGGTTTGACCAACTTGTGTTCGGCAGGGGAGCGAAGAGGAGGAAAGTGGAGTTGATCCTAACAGGGACAAGCTGCCAATCACCTGGGGTCAAATGGAAAGAATAGTAGTAAAGCAACAGCCGAGTGACAGGCGGTTCCCACCTGTGGTGCACGAGAAGTCGCCCCTTGCGGCGATACGATTGAAGCCGTTCCGAAATGCCCGCGACGTCACTGTGGCTTCGGTTGTGGCTGGTGTATATACACGTGACGCGTGACTATATAGAATCTCTTCCTCCCACGATTAGTTCGCTACATTTAACATTCCACGTTTGCGCATAATATTTACGTTCAACTTCTAGTTCCATTTTAACAACTAAATCAGGGGTATCTAAACGTACATTGGAGTGTCTCTGGCAGATTGTGCCTTCACTAGCACGAGAAACCGTAAACACCTTCGCAAAAGCAGAGAGTAACATGTATATCCCCGCACACATCAGACATTGCAAAAGCAGAATCAAAGCAGATAACCTGGCCACCAGCCAATAGTAGACTGGCTGCCACCAGACAACAAAGAAAGAAATGCAGATGCGAAGAAACGCCCCCAAAACTTCATAACACATCATAAAAGAGGAATGTGAAGACCGATAACTCCAGGGCGGCCTTCTATGGAGCGTCAACGTTTTCTGGGGTAGATCCGGTCTAGAGCTAACAGACCCAGGACATCATGACGCTGGCGACCTCCATGCAAGATGTACAGTATTGAAACAAGCAATAATTTCATCGGATAGTGACATTAGGTTGAGAGTTTCGCAAAATGCTTATTCCAGATCCAACCAACCTGGCGGGTAGGGTCGTCCTGGTTCTTGGCTAGCCACAGCTCGCCCTTTTCGGCGATGACATCAAATATCTCTCCGGCAACATATGTCAGGTAGGGATAGCCGGCCTCTCGTCGGGCACGGTCAATGTTGAATTCATTAATACTAGCGGCAAGGAATAGCACCGCCGGTTCTTTGGGTGGTTCGTTCTCCTGGGGAGCATTGTCTTGTGGGTTGTCCGACATTGGCATTGCAGAAGAGAAAAAGCCCGAATACCGACCACCGCCAGGTGAGCTCGGCTGTTCTTCGGTTGGTCTGTCACTACTCTCAGAAGGACCACCAATGACGTCGACGAGGAATGGAGAATCAAGGCTCAACCGGGGAAGGCTTGGACAAGACTCTCTGTTAGAGCTAGGCTGAGGTCCAGAAGCTGATGAGCTAGTAATTTGTTGCAACATGTGGCTTCGGGGTAGTTCAATCGAATCGGGCGCAGCACGACCCGAGAAAGTCGAATCAGCACGCCTGCGTCCAAGAGAGACCTGGGACTGGCTATCAAAACTTGGCGATTGGAAAGAATGACTTCCACTGCCAAAATCATGGGAAGCTTTAGGTGATTCATCCATAGTGGATCCAACGCGAGTGCTGGCGCTATTGACAGTTGATGGGCGCCGCGGCGAACTAATAGTTGCCCCGGTTGGGGGAGTGTTGAAATTAACGAGGTTGACAGCATCGGCCAATAACGACCCATTGCAAATGCCTAGGGACAGTACCTGTGCCTCAGAGAAGCTGAAACTCGCATTCCAATCACCAATTACCTTCTGGATATCGTCCGGGAACGAGTCCACTAGGGGGCCAAGTTTCTCCTGCAAAGTCTTAAACCACGACGTTTGTATGTGAACAAAGCTTTTCAGGCAAGACTCCATCAATTTAGCGGTAAGAGAGTAGAGCTTCGGAAGTTCGTCTTTAAGGGCCTCATTAAGAGCGACAAATTGTTCCCCTTGCTCGATGGTTTTCTTATCTGGTTTGTCCCCTCGTTCCTTAATGCTCTTGAAGCGGGCATAATCCATTAGGCGTTTGTCGCGCTTTTTCATCACTCTTTGTGGTCCATCATGAAGCTTAAGCAATGTGACCATTGGGTCAATGACGCTCTTACGAACGACAGCGATCTGGACATTGTCAGTCATTCTGGATACACGCGCTTCCATAGGGGATTGTACTTACATGCTTGGGTAATGCCTCTGTTATCACATCTTGGACAGCTGTCTTCAGCTCATCGCATTTGCCCTCAATTTCATGGTAAGCAGTCGGGGCGACTTTGATAAACTCTTCTATCGCGCTGGTAATTCCACCAAAACAGTCCATGGATCCCTGGACTTCACGCGTATACCCTTCCGCATCCCGCATGACAACTTGCAGTTGAAAGAAATTGTCACCGAACCTCTGAGACAGAGCATCGTATTCCTTGTCTTCAACCATGTCGGAAAGGCCAACCTGTTGCTTCAATTTCTCTGTGCGACGTCCAAATGCCTTTGACAAGCCTGCCCTGACATCAGACTCTTTTCTCTTGCGGCCCACAACTTGCCCCACAACATCTGCACGTTTCTTCAGCTCGTTGATACGAACGGAGATGTTCGTAACTTCTTCAAGGGCAGTAACGAGAGCAGCACGGTCTGGGTGATCCTTAGGTGTCGATTCAAGGAGTTCACTCAAAAGAAGGGGGTATTTCAAGATCCGCTGTACTGGCTTGACGAGCAACGAATCTAGATCCCATGCTGTGGTGAGATCGGATGCCCAATCCCGACATTCTTTGAGCCAGATAGCCACTTTCGGGTTCTTTTGCAGAGTCTGAAGTTTCTTATTGGCAGCATCATGGTTCTTCAGATAGTCGGCGTAGACCTTCTCCATGTTTGCTATATGCGCTATGAATGCCTGCCCAATGAAAGTCGCATTATCTTTCTCCACGTCTGAAGTGCTACTCCCAGTAGAAGATTCTTGATCGTTTCTCACGACAGGATTTCGAGGGTTACGCCGGCTGGTCCACCGCTGGGATTTAGGCATTATATAAACACTTTTCGCTGCCTCTTTGAGAGTGTCCTGGAAAGCCATAGAGAATTGCACGACTTGGTCTGAATTTGCAAACAGTACTTTGACATCTTCCGTGGAGAGGTCTAAGCATGAACTGGAGGTTCCCTTATAAATATCATCAACAACTTTCATGTCTTTTCCGAATGTATATTCGGTATCAACTAATTCCTTTATGACATGTCGCCGCTTCTTCAGTTGACGTTGTTCTGGGGATGGGGATGCGGTTTGTGGGCGAGGATGTTCTGAAGTCGAAGGAACCAACGAGGTTGCCGATGAATCCAAGGTGTGCGAAGAAGGAGTTGGCTCAAGTCGCCGGAGAGAGGAGTCCTCACTGCTATCGGTGCTTTGAACGGGTCCCAGCGGCGCGAAGGTGGCGTTCGAGAAGATGTTGGGATGAGCGACGGAAGTCTGTGGGAAACGATGTGTAGTGCTATCTTGAGTTTCAGGGGGCGGAGCTGGAGGGTCGTGGCGTGGTATAGGAGGTGGTGGAACATCGTCATCATTAAACTCCTGAGGTGGATGCACATTGATTGCCAGACCTAGGCCTTCGTCGGTATCTTTTGGATGTGCGTTGGGAGTCACTAGCCGCGGTGTCGGAACACCATCAACTCCCTGGCTGCCGTCAATTTTGGGGGCCTGCGGCGATGATCCTTCATCGGCGGCTACTTGCATCCAATCCATAATTGATGGAGACGCATGCTCCCAGTCATCGCGCAAAAACAAGCTCGCCGAATGTCGCATGCGTTCTGAGGGTGGGATACCGTCAGTTTCCGTTATTAGGCAGGATCGTCAGTCAGACTCTCAGTTCTTCTTTCATCTCTCTGCTCAACCCGGACATGTGGCGGCTCTGGAGACGCGCGTATTGCTGGCATGGGAAGGGGATGACTCCTGCCACTCGCAAGCTCTTCTATGTAGAGCTGAGCCACACGCTTAGAATCCCATCCCCCCAGTCTGACTAGGCTGGGTGTGTCGGACGGCCCGTAAGGATTCCTATGTGATACAGCTTCTTTACTTGGTTCTGTTACCACACGGGCTGTCTGGGGCAATGCATGGGGAGGTTGATGACCAATGACGGACGGAGTGCTCGAAGATTCAGAGCATGACTGAGTAGCAACCTCCTCGCTATCCTCGGCGCAGTGGTGTATATTAGAGAGATCGTCATCACTGCCCTCACATTGCCCACCCGAAGAAGTTTCGTGGTGCAGAGAAGATGACCAAGAGCTCATACTCCACCGGTTCGCTGGTTCGCTCTTGGTAGTACCCCGCTTGATATAAATATCACGATGCTCTTGGTTCTCACTGCTGTCTATAGAATCTTCGATAGCCATCGCGTCTCTCAGAACAATTGGAATAGACCCCTTTTCATCATTATCAGAAAAGCCATAATCTTGCTCATCGCACGATGAATTGCTAGGGCTGGAATCACGTATACGCATTATTTGGCTCAGCAGGGTTCTGTGTGATGCATGTAGATTCTGTTTGGAAAGATCATCTTGAGGTTCTGGATCAAATGCGGTGATATGGGTCTCGTTGGACCCTGCTGTTGCGGCCGAGTCAGGTCGCAGGTCGCAGGGCATCAACTCAAATCCTTGGCCGTTCAAAATCATCTCCGAGTGGCCTAATGTTGGTGAGTCCATCGTCATCGGATGATAGTCTGTTGTATTTCGAGAGTTCTCTGATACAGACACGTCTGGATCGACGCGAAGCTGTGAATGCGCCTTCGAAGCCTCTGTTTCGGGTGTCATGTCTTTCGCTTCATGTCCACAGTCGCCAAATTCCTCGATTACTGTCACGTTATCTTCGGGCTGTACAGAAGTAATCACGTCTGCAAATCCAGTACACTGTTCCTTGGGGGTAGAAGGCCGAACAGGCTGCTCTGTTTCTTCTTGAGCTTTGACCTGGCGTCGGAGCTCCGCTGCTTTCTCTTCTTTTCTCTCATTCTCTTCGACTGTGCGATTGAAAGCTTGTTGGATTCTCTGACGTCGGGTTGCAAAGTCGACATTACCCAATTCTGCCAGGCGTCGCTCTCGTAGCCTGGAGTTTCGTGGCTCACGATCACGGTTGACTTGTCTTTGAAAATTCGAAACCGTTTCCACCACTCTTGAACGTGGCGCCGTTTGGGCAGTTTGTGAGACGGGTTGACGTGGCCGTGAACTTCGCAGAGGGGGCGACTTCTTCGGGGGAGGAGCGGCTATGTATGCCTCCAAAAGGGCACCCTTTTCAGGGATGTACTGACGGGCCCTACCAGGGGCCACTTCCCGCCTTGCATGCGGCGTTATCGCAAACGTTGCTTCGCCCTCATAGGTCAGTTCACGGGCGGGATGAGACGCCTGTCTGGGAGATGGCTTGGGCAGGCGGCTAACGCCTTTCGGAGGTAAAGCGATCTGCTGCGCAGATCGGCTGCCGAAAGCTAGCTCGGTTCTTGTTGGCGAAGACGGCGAGGAATCACCCGAGGCGGAAGCTGAATTAAGGCGGCGGGAGGAGATTGGGATGCGCGACTTGGAATGTGGGCTCTCTAGGGATGTCCCGGAGTGTGGCTGTAAGGGGGGCTGGTCCGCCATATGAAAGTCAGAAAGGCACGCCGCTGCACCTCCAGGATGATCTCCAGCGAAATCACTCCTTGTCCTCCGGTGAGTATTCGTGTTCGAAGTGGTATTAACAGCCTCTAGAAACGGCGTATGTCCTAGATACCAAGCAGTCGGAGTCAGAGGCGTCAAGCCAAGTGCTGATTCGGGATGGTCAAAAAATGCTGGGTTTGGGCTCGGGATGGTCCCTTCAGAACCTCGACGGCGCAGAAGTGACGGTGATCCATATCCCAAGCTGTGAAAACTCGTATCCAATGCAAGCGATCCGCCACACGCGGGCCGCTGAGGAAGGTCGGAAGAGCCGGGACGGTTATTGTTGATATCGTTTGTCCTCAACCGAGGAAGAGAACGTTCTGAGGGTATATCTAGAGCAAAGGTCCCTATCGTATTCCACCGAGGAATTGGATTTTTCTGAATTGATGAATCGTGAGTTTGTCTCAGACGAGAGGCAGTCTTGAATGGTATTGATCCGTCCGTGGGGCTAGCCGGGCTGACAGTCTTGGATGTAGACGTTGACGGTAGTGGGAGAACTTGATCTGGATTGTTGTTGAACTTGTTCACGAGATCCTTAAAAGAGACCTGCCTTGGCCTCGCTATCGACGCCCGTGCTGGCGGTACCCCGATATTGTATCCAAGCCCAATGTTTCTGTATGATGAATCCGAGAGCGAGCGAAATGGCCCTGAGCTTTCCACGGACGACTTCGATGGGTGCGCTGGCCCAGAACACACTCGTTGAAATTGTGTCGGGTGATTTTCGGCAACTTCGGTGTTATCGATTTCATCCATCAAAGGTTCGCCTGAACCACCAGCAGTATCACCGTTTGCAACCGATATGGGTGGATTTGGGCGATAGTAGTCGTCAGGGTCGGGGGAGGATCGGTTGTTCGAGGATAGGCCTGCCGTTACAGGCAATACTGGAGAGTCTGTGAGACCCTGTTGCGCAGAGTATGTGGTACTGGCAAGAGGCGGTGCGGGAGAAGAGGCAATTAGTGATGTTTCAAAGGAGTCATCCGTCCGGGCATCATAAAAATATTCATTGGTGGGCGGAGAAGATTGGCGCCGAAGCTCATGAGGGTTGCCGTTCAGAACGCAAGAAACGTGCTCGACATCACTGCCGGACATCTTGCATTCTTTCAAGCAGATGGTCAGTGTAAATTGTGTCGTTCAATACTGTTGAGTTCTCTCTGTTCACAAAAACAACAACAACAACAAAAAAAAATTAAAAAAGGACGATTTTTCCCACCGAAATGGTTGGCGGTGATCCTTCCTGTTCGAGGGTGCTGGGCTTGTGATGCGTTGTTCACAGCTGGTAGGCCACAGATGAGGTTGCAGATTGACCGGCCGGAACTACAAGGCAATCATCACCGGGTAGCACCACGCCAGTACGGCGTCATATTTGAGACAGTATAGCAACGAAACCACCGGTGTGATGCTGGAGGTGTGTACCTCTTTCGGAGATTGTAGAGAGTTATTTGATGCTTAGCCCGCCGCTTAATGCGTGAGGAGTAAATGGGGCAGGCGAAAAGAAACGAATGAAGGCCAGGAAACGGGACAGCGGCCAAGTGTTCTGTTTTGAAAGTCAATGAAAGACCAGCGAAGTATAGGGCTCGAGTAAGACGGACGGGACGAGCGTTTGCACAGCGTCTAGCAGGGGTGTTGGTGTTGGAAAGTGGAAAGTGGAGGGTTATCGCAAGCGGGTCGAGAGGGGTTGTTGAGGTCAGAGAATCAGAGAGGAAATGAGGAACAAGATGGAAAGCGATACTAATGACCGCAATCGCCAGAGAGAGGGGGCGTACAGTAGTATTGTTGCTGCGCGGTACTGTATGTATGTATGGAAGTACGTCAAGGTAAGGTCCAAGAAAAGAAGGCCCATCAAATCAAATAAGTAGTAATAAGTCATCGATGACGACCGGGCATCGATCCTGTGGTCCTATCAAATAAAAAGGGCCGTGGGTGGGCCGACAGTTGGTTAGTACGGAGTAGTTCGCCCTGTTCCTGTTTGAATCTCTGACTGTGTCCACAGTCTTTATTTAGCCCACTAGCAATCGGCTCTGTAAACATTACGTTCCAACTTGTACAGGAGTCAATTACGAATAAATAAGCGCGGAGAATAGAAAAGAACCAGGGGTATAAACAGAGGAGAGGGGGGAAAAATTGAATAAAGATAAATAAAAATAAATATTTTAACAATAATTACTTCTTTTATGCAAGAAAAGTCTGATTGATCTAATCAGTATCATGACACCCTGCCTCTCGGCATAATCGCCCGATACAACAGGACAGCGTTAGATTAACTATTATTCTCAACATAGATTGCTAGATCAACAATTAATACCACTGCTATCCAGTAAAATCTATAACCAGAAAAGGATGAACGAAAAGGGACAGAGAGACTCGTCATAGTATGTACAGTATCATACAAGGACACAGCTAGGTTGGTACAGCGTGAAATCATGTTTCAAGACGGTTTTGGTATTCTTGTATGATTATTACTAGGTACCTGATCTGATTACGGTCTTTAACGGTCTAGTCTGGGTAAGTCCCTAGCTCTCGGTCGAAATGTTAGGTAGATCTTCAAAGTGGTCCTCGGGTGTGAAAGAATAAGGCAGACAGAAAATTCGAGCGAATGAAAATTTTCAGTCCATAGAAGATTTGGAGAGAGAAAAAAAAAATCTTTCCAGCAATAGATCCAACCATGGGAGGACATTTCCTTTTTGTTTATCTTCTTCCTTGTCCCGTGCCTTTGTCCTTTCGGCTGGTACAGCAAACGATCGGAACGACATTGCGTTTGCTGACTCGATCACTGATCATCAAGAGTCGATCTCTTGGAAGACATCCATTCCCTTTTTACCTAAGCGGCCGGCTCATCCACGGTCTGTTTCCAGCCAAAAGAAAATCTAATCAATATCGAGGCCAATACTTTCAAAAGCACTAGTAGATACTATGTCTGAGGAGGATATCCTTCCATCAGACTAATTGAAACTGATTGGACGAGTCTTTGATCAAGTCTCTTTCAGCCTTCCAAGGTTTGGTTATCCATGTATCACTTTTGGATCGCTCCCCTGGGACTACTATTTCGGGCTCCACCCATCTTTGTTTGACCTGGAATTTCGGCTTTTCGTTCCTTTCCACTTTCTTTTGTTGGTTTTCTCTATTCCTTGCTTGGAATTTTTAGCTTGTACCTATGATAGAGTTTGTGTCAACCAGCTTGTTTCTCTTTGCTCGACTTCCAATGTTCCTTTTTTGACTGTACCCGTAGCATCAAAGTCGGAAAAATCATTAAATAAATATTAATTAAAATTTAATAAAATAATGAAAAAATAGATGAATAACAAAAAGCTCATTACCACGTAATTACAATGTATTGGTATACCGTGTTATCCGTTGCAGTTGAATAATCAATTTTACTCCCGTAGAGTTTTCAGTCTCCGACAAAACTTCTCATCGAAGTGCCTGCATGAAAAGCACGCTGCCAATTGTGTTCAACAAAAACCGATAGTAGACAAGACGGAAAGTAGATCAATAAAGTGGTCCTTATACCTCATTGAATGTGAGGTTAAATAGTGTTTGTGACCAGTAGACAACAGATTTGACTCCTCTCATGGTTCCTAGAACATAATAATTTGTTCGAGAACAACCCAATCCAGTTAATCATACATACACCTTAGAGCTAATAGGCCCTTTAAGGGATAAAGCATGATTTTCTTTTCTTTTCTTTTTGTTCGCTATCCCCTTCCCTTCTACTCTTATGCTACGATGAATACTATGATTCCGCCATGTTATGATTCGCGATATATGAGCAAGGGGGAAGAGGGGATAAGGTCATTCGATACCAGGTCGGTGTGCTATTGCAGTAGGACGGTGCAACAGTGCCTTTTTGACCACTTTAGATTCTGTCCATACATCCCGAGTTCGTTACCGCATGACCCGGGCACTTTAAAAGAGGAATGTGCAGGGGGAATGCCGAGTTTAATTTGATATGCCGGGATCAGTAGCCTTTGCTTGAATGGGCAGGAGATACGAGGTACAGGACAGCAGGAGGGGGTTGAACACGCGCTAGTCGAGTAAAATCATACATACGTACGTACGGAGTACAATTTCCGATTTCGAGTGATCAGAAAACGATTCTTGCTTGCTTTTTCCCAGCGGATCCCAGCTCAACTATAAGCTATTCTTCATGCTCACTAACCTACCATTTAACCTCTTAAGGTTTAAAAAGCAATAACTCTTGTACCCAGCAGACAGGGAAGCATCGATAGATCTCATTCACCATAATTATTGCCCTCCTTATCGATTGTGGCCGACATCAGTACATCTGTCAGCGTTCCTTCCGCTCGTTATTCTATGCAAGGATCCATCAAGTTGGAAATGATGCGTTTTTATTGGCTCCAGGTCCATCCACTTCCTCATGTGTAATTATGTCACTGGCCGAAGGACTCATCTGCTTCGCCTGACATTGGTTCTGTCTTCCATCTGTCTGTCCGTCCGTCGATGGTCACACCGCTGGTTAGGACAAAGTGCGACAAGAGTTGAGTTATCTGCATGCGCTTAAGCCCAACTCGCGAAATAGCCATGACGGGAGCGAAAGTGGAGAGGGAAAGATTTCCTGCCACTACTTCCACAGTGGATTTCAATCCATCTGTCAAACGCAATCCCAGGGACCAGAACGTCAGGACAAGAGGCCATGACATATTTCTCAAGGGCTGTACCAGAAAACATCCCCCGGACTCCGCAACCACATGAGGACGGAAGCATACCAGGGCCGGGCTGGCCTGGTGGAGACGTAATTATTTACGATCACCCTTCCTCGGGAACGCTCCTAGCGTTTGCGACCTTTCTAGACCACCGTCGTTCCAAGGATCTGGGTTGATGCTCCATGTCCGTGCGTGACTGGCGAGGCTGTCCTCAAACCGCAACACTTTTCATTTTCGGTTATGATTTTCTGTTATTCTATGCAGAAGCGTCAGGCACAACAATTGATCGACACGCTCATTATCCTATCCTAGAGGATAATCCCATTAACACGCTCAGAATCAATTCGATTGACCCACAGAGACTTTCGATCTTAAGATTACTTCAAACTTTCAGAGTTTTCCTCGTCACACATTCAATTTCGGCAGAAAAAGAAAAACGAGAGGAAAATTTCATGTATTTACTTTCATGTTGGTTCTCGTTCGTCTATCCAGATCAGGTACTTGGTTCCATAGGCTCAGGGACCTCATATACATCACACAGCGGCCCAGTGGCCCCACATACGAGTAATGCAACTCACAACAATCTCGCTAAATGATTTTTACTCAAGGGTTACCTTGTATGCACAGCCAGCGTATTCGGCCGTGTCAAGTCGGGGGTTTTCTTAATTCCATAGCCACCCGTCGGCCCGCCGGATGTAGCCTTTTTGCATCCGCATGTTTCTGGCAGAAACGGTCTCTCTGGCATGCGGGTCGCAAAGCCCTTTTAAGGTCAGGGATAACACGCCATGGCGTGTGTACCAACTGCCACGACGGATATATGTGGCCATACAGCTCTGACTGAATACTATCAATTCAATGAGACACCGTTTGTTGGTCTAATTCTAACAGATCTCACGTTGGTCGCGATAGCGTTTAGAAATCTTTACTGGAGTTCCATACATTTCGAGGAACATCAAAATTCGCCTTGCGCCAAGGCTTACAATACAAACCAAACAAACAACCCCCTTCTCAACGCCAGTGACCCCTTGAAGTGGCAACCGACAAGAACAACCAAATACAATAATACATAACACATAGTACCAGCTTCTCAACCGTATCTCAGATATTAGGTTAGCATGAGGCAACAAGCTACGATGTGTTTCAGGGACCTGCAAGTATTGACTGATAGTTCTTTCAAGTGTTCGAGATTCTTCGACATGTGAGACTGGCCTTGTCTCATGCTAAAACATGGAGGAACAGGGGGTTCTCCATGTCAGATGCAACCTGCGAAGCACTAGTAGTAGCTATCCCTAGGTAGGGGTTAGCCAATATTTGCGCCTAGTCGGACTCCATACTCCGTTTGGGGTGTACTACAGTAAGCATGATATCAAAGGATGCACAGCCACAGCGTTCCCAATATTGTGTGGAGCGTGTAGATGTCTACGGGGA